AAACGCATTCTCTTTGGAATGGGTCCAGTTTGGCCCCCTGGGGCCCTCTCGGCGGGGAGCATACCGAGGCCCTCTTGCAGCGTCGTCGGGGCGTCTTGGGCCGCCTGGAAAGGATCCTCGGGCGCCTTCGGTCCTGTTGGGCCTCGCTGGGCGGCCAGAGGGGGTGCAACGCGTCGTGGGCCAAAAGGGGGAGGGGGGACTCCGGGAGGGCGGGCCAGCCCAAGCCCCGGGCCCCTGGCACCCGGGCATCTGATCCATGAACATGCTTTGTTTTGTCCGCCGCCCGCCTTTACGATGGATTTCTGTTTTTTGGGGAGGGCGACGAGGGAACGAGGAGGGAACGAGGAGGAGGAGGAGGAAGACGAGGCCGAGGAGAAAGCAACGGCGAGCCCAGCTGTCGGAGGTCCGTGAGATTGCTTGGGTCGCCGCAAGGCCCTCCCTGCCCTGCAGAGCACGAAGCGCGCCAAAGGGGGGGCCTAGCACCGACCCCGGGACATCCGCGAGGACCTCCTCAAGTTTAGGGGTAGGCCTCCTAGATGGGGCCCGAGTAGATCGGGACACGAACAATGACAGAAACAGAAAAACTCGGCGGTCCGCGCGGAGTTCTTGGATCCGCGCTGGGGGCTCCGCGCGCCAGGGAGGGGGTCCAGCGCCGATCCGAGAAATCCGCGCGGACGTCCGAATTGTTATGTGTATGTCTTTGTTCGTTCCCTGAGTAGATGGGGTCGGAGGATCGCGCCGCATCGCTAATGCATCGCCGACTCATCGGCACCATCGGCGTGGAGAAATCAGCCTCCACATCGGGCCGCTCTGTCGATGCATCGGCGATGCGGAACCCGATCTGAGAGGTCTAGAGTCTATAGCCTTGCTTCCTCGAGCGCCTCCTCCTCCTCCTCCTCCTCCTCCTCCTCCTCCTCCTCGAGTGCTCCCGTCGATCACCAGACGCAAATCGCCTCGAATGCGCGCTGGAGACGGAGTTACGACCGCATAAAGGGCTCCCACGATGTGCTACCGAACGACCCCAAAGAGTCCGCGAGGCCCTCCTAAAGTTCATCTGTGTTTGCCGCTTCGCTTCATCGAGCGCCTCCTCCTAGAGCAGGAGGTGCTCGAAGAGGCGACAATTCTTGTCGTCGTCCTCCTCCTCCTCCTCATCCTCGTCGTATTCGTCGTCGCCGCCGGAGGCGTCGTTGTCGTCGTCGCTTCGTTTCTTCGGTCGAGGAACAAAAAACGCCATAAACATAAACTGTTGGCGCTCCGCGCGGATTTCTTGGATCCGCGCTGGACCCCCCTCCCTGGCGCGCGGGGCGCGCCAGGGGCGGCGCCGGAGACACCGCCGGGAGGGCGCAGCGCGGGTCCAAGAAATCCGCGCCGAGCGGCAGAAGTTTCTGTTCATGCCGTTGTCTGTTCGTCGAGTCGTCGTCGTCGTCGCTTCGCTTCTTCGGGGGCCTCCTCCTCGAGCAGGAGGTTCATGTCGGCGAGGCCCAGGAGCGCGCTGCCCGAGAGGCCCTGCGTGGCGGGCCCCACGGTGGCGAGGGCGCCAGCTGTCGCTGCTGGAGCCTGGCCACGCCCAGCCAGCACATCGACTCGGGAACTCGGGAATCGGATCGGACCGTGCGTCGGACCCAGACTCGGTGGCGAGCGAGGGAGGGAAGTTTCGGGTTCGAGGCTCGGGGTTCGAAGTTTTCGGGCGGTCTCCTCCTCTCCTCCTCCTCCTCCTCCTCTCCTCCTCCTCTCCTCCTCCTCCCTCCCTCCTCCTCCCTCCTCCTCCTCCTCTCCCTGTCCTCCTCCCCTGTCCTGCTCCCCTGTCCTCCTCCTCCTCCCTCCTCCTCCTCCTTCTCCGCCTCCTCCTCCTCCTCCTCCTCCTCTCTCCTCCTCCCTCCTCCTCCTCCCTGGCGGAGACACAAGAACCCCCCCAGAAGGCTGGAAGCCATCTGAGAAGCCCCGCCGCCTTCTGAGAAGGCCTTCTCCTTCCCACTTCCCCCCCCTGGCCACGCCGCCGAATATGTTTTTTCAGTCATAGCTCGGGTCTCCAGCGGCCGTTCGGAACGATCCCGGCACCCCTGGAATGCCCTCGGCGAGGCGCAGCTGCTGGCAAGCATCCCCGAGGCTGGAAAACCGCCGAGAGCCGAGGAGGCCGCCCGACAACCTCGAACCCCGAGCCCCGAACCCGAAACTTCCCCCCCTCGCTCGCCCGCCGATGAGCGCCGAAATCGAATCGTATCGACCCGGCCGCGGCTGCCATCGAGCCCGACCGATCGGATCGAAGGGGGGCCCTGCCTGGCTGGCCCCAGCGCCGGCTGCGGTGCTGCGGCCCTCGTCCTCGTGCCGCTCCTTGGGCGCTCGGTGGCCGGAGGCGGGTGCTCCAGGTCCAGCGCTCTGGCCGGCCCCCGTGTGCGCGGACCCCCGTCCCAAGGCCCCCAAAAGAAGACATCGCAGGTACAGACCGGCGCACCACGCTGGGGTACGCGATTGCGAGGGCGGCGAGGGCGAGAGCAACAGGAGCAGCAGAAGTAACACCATGCTACCGATGTCACGTCTGCATCACTGCTGCGTTGCAGTGTGAGCCTGCTCTTCTCATCACGGGGGTGCACTCCCCATGAGGGGGACATCCTGAGACGAAGCCAGGACGAAGAAAGATTCGGGCAAGGGTGAATCGAGAATTTCTGAGATCCGGCGGCTCCGGAGGAGGTATCGGGCGTCGCGGCCTTCTCAGAGAATTCCAGCACGCTCTGAGAGCGTTCCTGAACGCTACGGAACGGATTCATGCTCGTCCCAGTTAGCTCCGCGAAGTCCTCCAATAGCGGGAGCACCGGGATCAGCGGCGGATCCCGGCCGATGGCACCCCTGTCCCAGGAAGCCCTGTCGGGCGGGATGTCGAAGAGGCGCTGCAAGTAGGCCGCCACCCCGTGCGCCCACCCTGCCACCAGCGCGAAGTGGCCCAGGGCGCCCGCCACGTCGGCGTTGCGGCGAGGCGTGTGGCACCCGTCGTGCGCGCGGTCGATGGTGAAGGAGGGCGTGGCGGAGTCGTCCAGGTGCAGCAGCAGCCAGCTGACGTCCACGCTGAGCCTGGGATTGGCCCGCACCTCTGGCCGAGGAGCCGCCTTCGACGTCGTCTTCAGCTCCTCGCTGCCCGCGCGGGCGAAGAGGTGCAGCCGGTCGTCGGCCGAGGCGCCAACGCCTCGCACGGCGGTCAGGCTGTAGGAGACAGACACGGTCCAGAAGTACTCCGTGACCGTCGTGACGACCTTGCTGGTCAGCGCGCTCCGGACCGAACCCATGACGGTTACCTCTCGGGACGATCGAAATGGGTACGGAAAGAATGGGTACGACGACCGGCAGCAATCCCTGTCCGTTTGGATCAGGATGCGCTGTCGGTGTCGCCGCGGGCGTTGTCCATTCGATGCAGCAGGCCGCCTGCCAAACAGCGGCCGCTGCTGGTCTGGGACAACATCTGGTGTTGGGCATCGTGCCCCTCGCCATCCCTCAGACGTCCATTCCCTGTGCGTTCTTCGCAGGATGATCCATGAGTCCGAGCGATGCCATGGCCCATGTTTTTTCCAACCAATTTCGACCCCCAAAGGTCTTGACCCATTCCCCGGGACCGGCTTGTCATCCCGAGCCGCTTTTTGACGCTCCCGGGGCCCGGCGAGGGCCCCCATGGGCCGAAAATGTGGCGAATAACCTCCCGTCATGGCTCTTCGTTTACTTGAGAAGGAGGAGGAGGTGGAGGAGGAGGAGGAGGAGGAGGAGGAGGAGGACGACGACGACGAGGACGAGGAGGACGAGGAGGACGAGGAGGACGAAGCCGCAAACCTCCTCCACGGTCCTCGTCGGGCCCTCCGCCTCCCGGCTCTCCTCCCGGGCGAGGCTGCAGCGCTCCTCGGCGGCGAACTCCAGGGAGACGGCCTGCGAGGAGGCCCAGGCGCGCAGCTGTGCCAGCTTCGCGGCGTCGAGGCCGAGCGTGGCCAGGCAGTTCAGCTGGGAGGCCGTGGCAGCCCGCGTCATGAACTCAGCGAGGATAGGGGCACGAGGAATGGCATAAACATAAAAACTCGGAGGCCCGCGCGGATTTCTCAGATCCGCGCTTGACCCCCCTGGCGGCACCTCCGACGCCGCCCCTGGCGCGATCCGCGCGCCAGGGAGGGGGGTCCAGCGCGGATCCAAGAAATCCGCGCGGACCTCCGAGTTTCTATGTTTATGTCATTTTTCGTTCCCCTAGAGGAGGTACTTGTCGGAGTACTGGTGGTGCACCTCTTGGAGAATACACGAATAGCAACAGACACAGTGTCAGCCAGCGCGGGCCCCAAACAGCGTGTAGTCTAGCAATATATGATATATGAGTTGTGCAGTCTAGGTGGAGCGATCCACGTGTTGCAGATATGTGGTGCACGTAATGCTGCGCAGTCTATGTTGTGCAATGTCTGTTGTGCAAGCGGTGTGGTGCGATCCATGTGGGGCAATCTATGTTGTGCAACCAACGTGGAGCAATGCATGTGGTGCAATATGTGTGGTGCAACCTATGGTGTGAAATCGGGTGGTGCAATCCATGTTGTGCAGTGTATGTGGTGCGACCTACGTAGTGCAGTGCAAAACGATGCAAAGCAATGCGAAACAATTAAAAACACTGCAAACCAGTATAAAGCAGCGCAATGCAATGCAAGCGGGCGGCGACGGGGGCGACGGCGAGCGACCGACAGCCAGGCCCAGAAGCAGCGGCGACGAACGGCGGCGACCCGCGGCGACGGCGAGAACAAGCGCGGCGACCGACAGCCAGGCCCAGAAGCAGCGGCGACGGACGGCGGCGACAGGCGGCGACGGCGAGAACAAGCGCGGCGACCGACAGCCGGGCCCAGAAGCAGCGGCGACGGACGGCAGCGACGTCGGCAACAGAGCCCCCAGACCACTAGCCAGGCCAAGTTACCTTAGACAAACAAGTAAGAGGCCCCAAGTGCAAGCTCTGTTTAGGGAACGTCATACAGATAAGCTTTCGGAAGTCTGCGCCGACTTCCTAGACCGGCGCTGGAACCCCGCGCTGAGCGCGCCAGGGGCCGCGCCAGCAAGGTCCAAAGGCCGCCCTAGGAAAGCCGCGCGGACCCCGGTCCGAGATGGTAGTGTAAACGCGTTTTTCGCCGAACCTCTGAAGCAAAGCAGGGGCGCCTCGCCGCATCGAGCACCAGCCGCACCCGATCTACGGCTCTGCTCAGGCTGTCCTGGAAGCCGATCATCCGCAGGTCGGCTGCCATGGCGGGCGACGCGCGGCGGGTGCAGAGGGGCTGGGAAAAATGAAAGCTGGAAGTTCCGTTCCACGAAAAAGGCTTGCAGGGGGCCGAAATGAGCCAGGAAAAGCTGGGATGGGCCGCCAAGAAGGCTGGAAGGACTGGCGGAAGTCTGGCCAGGCTTGGCAAGAATGTAAAGGCTGGCCCCAGCCACTCTGGTCCAGCTTCCTTGACATTCTACCGCAAGTTTGTTTGAAATCGTAGCTTGTAATTGCCGATGCCTGTCGCTTGACTCGGAACCTTGATTACGACCTCTAGCCTGGGGCCAAGATGGCTTGAGCACAAGCGGCCAATTCCGGAGACCCTGAACCAACAAACATGACGTCTCACCCTTACTTCTGCCGGCACTCCTCCCACGGACCCGCCCCTGTTTTACTTCCGCGGGCTTTTGCCATCCTTCTTCCGGCGTCCGCCGAAAGCGCGATTCGCCACCAAAGGCGAAGCCGTCTCTCGAGCGCAACAACTGCGAGGGATCAATGCCTTCGCAACCGTTTTGGAAAGACAATGCGGCGAGCATCAGCTGAGCACGTGTGCGCTGCAGGAGCACGGTAGAACACCAGCGTTCACGAAGCGCAATATTCTGACACGGCAGACCCGACGAGACTCCGAAGATGGAGCACGGCGAACGACGATTGCACAGTTGTCCGACCTCGCTTGCGCGACAATGCCATGCTGCATGCTTGGGTGCTGGCCAATCGCCGTCTTGTAGAATTTCTGTACGTGTTCAAGGGCTCCCTTCCCCCCATCCCGCGCGCGCATGTGCCCACGGTCGCCCCCCCCCCCCCCCCTTCTGACAGGTCAAATGAAGCCAGACACCGCCCCCAAAACGACAGCAGGACACCCCAAAAGGCAATGAAACAACCGCACGAGGCTCCTCCAAGAGGCTCCAAGATCCACCGCAGACTCCGAGGCAAGCCCGCGCACACGCCTCCAATAACTAGACGCCGACAGGTGGCCATTGGGAAAGCAGCGCTCTGCATCGGAGGCTGTCTGACTCAAGATCTCCTCCGCACACCCTCCGAAAACTTCCACAAATATTAGGTCGGGCGTGTCCCCCTACAGGAGGCTTTTGGACGAAAAAATAAAAAAAAATACGCCAAAAGTTAAATACACACAAAATTGCCCAAACTACTACAAACATAATCCCCAGACCATTGTTTGACTATTTTTGAATGTTCCCCCTGTAGAGGGACAGGCCCGACTTAACACAAATCCCACCCGCAGCAGAGAGTCCCCTCGGAGAGTCCCCTGGGCGGGCCCAGGCGGGCTTGAGAACCACCGCCCCCACAATGGGAGGCGGCAGTAGACCAGACCCAGCAAGATGACGGCGAAGGCGCAGCCCCAACCCCCCCTCCCCCCTCGCGCGACGAAGGCGCGGCCACCCCTCCTACCCCCCGCCCCGCGCGTCGTACGAGAACGGCGCCCACACACCGCGTCGCGCTTGGGCTCAATCCAAGCCCCGCTCGAGCGCGTTACGGCGCATAGCTTTTCGGCTCCGTGGGCCGGAAAACTGTGCACCGTACCCTTCCTGAGCCGAAGATCGACGACGCCTCGGGAGACGCCAATGCGGCACGGTGCACGCGCGTCGTCCGCGGAAACAGGCGAGGCGACGGCGAAGGCGCGGCCGCTCATCCCCCCTAAATCACGTTGCCCCTTCTCGTTCGAGGATCCAAAGTCGGCTCCCGGGCCACACGGCGGCGGTTCGGGACGATCCGGGCACTCACAGAAGGCTCTCGACGAGGCGCACCTGCTGGCACGCACCCCGAAGCTGGAGAACCGCCGAGAAGCGCCCGATTCCTCCTCCTTCTCCTCCTCCTCCTCCTCCTTGTTCTCCGCCTCCACCGCCTCCGCCTCCGCCTCCACCTCCGCCTCCGCCTCCGCCTCCGCCTCCGCCTCCGCCTGCGCCTCCGCCTGCGCCTCCGCCGCCTCCTCCTCCTCCTCCTCCTCCTCCGCCTCCTCCTCCTCCTCCACGGAACGTCCCCCCCGCTGAGCCCCCCCCTGCGTCGGCCCGGCGGCGCCTGCCCGCGCCCGGCGTCCCCAGCGCGCGCAGCAGCTCGCAGTGGCCCAGGTGCAGCCGCAGCAGCGCGGCGAAGGCTCGCCGTAGCCTCTCCTGCCAGCCGGGCTCCAGCTCCGCGGACTGGGCGGGAGGGCCGCTGGTTTTTTGCTGCTGCTCGTCGTCGTCGTCGTCCTCCTCCTCCTCCTCCTTCTCCTCCTCCTCCTTCTCCTCCTTTTCTTCCTCCTCCTCCTTTTCTTCCTTCTCCTCCTCCTCCTCCTCCTCCTCCTCCTCCTTCTCCTCTTCCTCCCCACGGTGGTGCTGATGCCCATGGATGGGCAAAACAGCTGGCACAAACAAAAACCTTTCGGAGGTCCGCGCCACGGCCGGCGCCAGATGCGCTGCGGGGGGGGGCTCCGGCGCCCGTCCAAGAAATCCGCGCGGACCTTCAAATGTCTATGTGTATGTCCTTTGACGCTCCTCGATGGTTGTGTATCTGCTGCTCGCCGTCGTCCTCGACGATGGTGTTGCTGCCCCTTTCATCCCGGAGGGGGGAAGGGTAATGGAGGAGAGATGGGGTGCGAGGGAGGAAGGAGGCAGAGCCTAGGAGGAAGGGAGAGGGGGGAGGAGACTAAAGAGGAGCAGAAGGAGAGGGAGGACGGAGGTGGAGGGCACGGTGGTGGTACTGATGATACCAGTTGAAAGGCCAAGCAATGGAGACAGGCGAATGGATGAACATGCTGGTTTGTGCGGCAGGGAAGAGGAGGAAAGAAGAAGAGAGGAGGCTGCACCAGATACGAGTTGGCACCACCTGCCGAAGCGACGTGGCATGCCCGCAGCGCGGCGAACCGATGGACCGAACAGGGCAGGAAGGTCCGGTGACCGCCAAGGCAGGTTGGCCGAGTCAACGCCAGCTGTGGGGGTCGGGGTGCTGGCTCTTTCCTGGGCCTCCAGCGCCACGAACCCCAGACCCCAGGCGACACTGTGTCTTGGCAGGCCCAGCCAGCCAGATCCACACCGCCAGGAGAGCAGGGAGCCTCAGTGTCAGCGTGCACGCCGCCGGGAGCTGGGCGGCCCACCGAGGGGGCACGGGGCGAGCCGCAGCGCGTGACCGGCAGCAGCACGAGCTGGCGGGGGGGCGGTAGCAGCGCAGGGACGGCGAGGGGACGTAGGGCAAGGAGACCGCCAGCCGAGGAGGAGGAGGAGGAGGAGGAGGAGGAGGAGGAGGAGGAGGAGGAGGAAGAGGAGGAGGAGGATGAGGAGGAGGAGGAGGAAGAGGAGGAGGAGGAGGAGGAGGAGGAGGAGGAGGAGCTGCTGCTTCAAGAGGTGCTGGGCGGCGCGGACGACTTCCCCCGCAGAGGAGCCTGGCTGCAGCCCACGGTGGCGGCCCAGGGCCACCCGAGAGGGCGGAGCACGAGCGAGCAGCCAATCAGCGAAGATTTAAGGGTGGGGACGGGGAGCGAGGAAGGAGCTCCCCCCCCACAAAAAACTCCATATATGGGCAGCTCCGAGCGGCGGACGGTGCAAGCTCGCTCAGTGACAGGCGCCCGCTCAGTGGATTGGCCAGTACCGTGCACGCGTACACAGGGCAAGTGCACAGGACGAGTCGCACGGAAGTGCATGGCAGAGGGAAGGCTGCGGAAAGAAATGCGCGCGGATGATTTGGCACGCGCGGGGGTGACTCCGGGGATGCAAGTCCGTGGCGGAAGAGAAGAGAACACACAGAAGATGCCAAAAGGAACCGCGTGCAGGAACGTTCAGACGAGACAAGGCGGAGGTACTGAAAAATCTAAGCCTGGGCTTCAACATATTTACATAGCTTGAACCGCAACCAGATGCGCTCGACTATTTATACAGCAAAACACCGCGACCAACGCCGAAACCTCGCAACGCGCGTTCGTGCCACATCCGACACGGAAAGCACGGGCACGACCACTAGTGACAGGTGCGCAGGTCGTGTGGCAGCTGTATGATGCAGTGCCCGTGGTGGCTGAGGTCCACCAGTGTGCGACAGATAGTGTCGATTGGGTAACGAATCTGCACGCCAATATGAACTGAGGTCATCTGCCCCCTGGGAGGAGGAGGAGGAGGAGGAGGAGGAGGAGGAGGAGGAGGAGGAGGAGGAGGAGGAGGAGGAGGAGGAGGAGGAGGAGGAGGAGGAGGAGGGAGGGAGGAGGGAGGAGGGAGGAGGGAGGAGGGAGGAGGGAGAGGGAGGAGGGAGGGAGGAGGGAGGGATCCGAGATGGTGGTGCAGGAGATGTCGGTGGGCCTGGGCCTGCGGCGGCGGCGCGGGCCCATCAGCAGAACCACATCCGTCTGCTTGCCCGCCTCACTGGTCTTCACCGCCCGCCTACTCTGCACAGGAGGCGTGCCATGTTGAGCAGCGAGTGTCAGAGGGGGGGACGACAATTGGTGCTGCGAGCCGCGCGCCTCGGAGGGCACCTTATGTGGAGGGAGGGTGTGGCGCTGGGCATGGAGGAGCGCACACTTCTGCAGCCGCACAGGGCGTGCGAAGGGAAATGGGCCAGGGCGGCCAGCAGGAGGAGCAGGAGGAGGAGGAGGAGGAAGACGTGGAGGAGGAGGAGGAGGAGAGGAGGAGGAGGAGGAGGAGGAGGAGGAGGAGGAGGAGGAAGACGTGGAGGAGGAGGGGACGTGGACAAGGAGGGGGGAGGAGGAGGAGGAGGAGGAGGAGGAGGAGGGAGGAGGAGGAGGAAGGAGGAGGAGGAGGAGGAGGGAGGAGGAGGAGGAAGACGTGGACGAGGGGGGAGTGGCGGCCTCGGCGCTGGCGGCCCCCGCGGCGCCGCCGGGGACGCAGGCCCAGAAGCACGGCACGACGCAGGCACTCGGCGCGGGCGGCGGGAGGGAAGGGCGTCGGGGCAAGGGGGGGGGGGCGGGGGGGGGGCGAAGAGGGAATTGGGGAGAAGGGGGTCCTTCTTCTCCTCCTCGGTCCTCCTTCTCCTCCTCCTACGCCTCCTCGGTCCTCCTCCTACTCCTCCTTCTCCTCCTCCTTCTCCTCCTCCTCCTCCTACTCCTCCTGGGTCTCCACATCATCCATCCTCCTGCTGTCGCGCCAACGCCCACGCGAATACTAGTGCTCCTTTTCCTCCACCTCCTCCTCCACCTCCTCCTCCTCCTCCCTTCCACCTCGGGTAGGAGATGGGAGGCTATGCCTTTGAGTCGATGTCGCATCTTGCGGCGCAGGAGGCAGGGTACCCCGACGTATCGCCCCCCCACACATACACACAATCTGCCTACAACGTCCCAGCGCTCGCCTTGCTTCTCTCCGCGCCACAAAAAACGGCTCCACGATCAAAGTTATGGGAAGGGCGGTCGAAGGATCCCCCTACAGCTCCCCCCTCCTCCCCACCGCGCCCCCCAAGCGCGGCGGCAGACTCGCGTGACAGAACAACTGGGTATGTATGTATATAAATACATATAATATATGATGGGTGTAAGCGTGTACTCATTTACACATGGCAAGTCGCCAGGTATATATGCAGTACAGAAATGTCAATGGTACGAGGTCATGTGCCTAACATGTATTCATCGTATGTGTTATGTCTCTCTCTCTCTCTCGCGCGATCGCTCTCTTCCACTCTGTACATGTATGCCTGAACGCGTCCTGTCTGTATGTATGTATGCGTGCATCGTTATGTATGTATGCTTGTAGGTATGTCTGTATGTATGCATGCATGCATGTATGTGTATGCATATTTATGTGTGTTGTATGTATGTGTGCCTGTGTGCATGTATGTATGCATGCATGCATACATGTATGTATGCATGTATGTATGTATGTGTGTAGGTATGTATGTTTGTATGTATGTAGACATGTACCTACGGCTGTGTTGTATGTACGTGTGTACAAATGTGTGTATGGATGCATGTATGTCGATGTATAGATATATCTATATACAAACGTCCACCTGTGTGTATACATACATGTGCGTCGCTGCACTTATCCGCCCTCTGTTTCCCGCCCTCACTGCCCCAACCCTCCATCTCTCTCTCACTCTCCTTCCCGCTATTGCTCTCCTTCTCTCTCTCTCTCGTTCTCTCTCCCTCTCCGTCTATCTCTCTCTCTCTCACACTTTCTCTCTCGCTTTCTCTCTCTGTCGCTCTCTCTCTCTCTCTCTCTTTCTCTCTATATTGTTTTTTGTTGTTCTCTCTCTCTCTCTCTGTCTCTCTCTTTCTCTCTCTTTCTCGCTCTCGACACGCAATCAGATACTTACACGCGCGCTACCCCCGAACCAAGTCGATTGACGCTTTTGCTCCCGCTGCACCGTCCAGGCTTGCGATCGTCACCTTTCGAAACGGAGGGGCGCGAGGAAAACGATTGTAACGAGGAGGAGCAGACGATGTAGAGAAGAGGGAGGATAAGAAGTTTGGGGACGAGGTGGAAACAGGGAGCCGGAGAGATGGATAGGGGGGCGCGGAGAAGGAACTCGAACATGGAGCAGAACCTCCTCGACCTATGACCCGCTCTCGCCCCCAGCTGGTTCGACGCTGCCTTCCTCCCTCTCCTTCCCTCTCTCTCGCCCTCTCTCTCCCTCTCTCTCTCTCTCTTCGCTCATTCTCTCCCCCTCTCTAGCACTCCCATTCTCCTATTGTTTCCCCCCCTCCCTCTCTCTTTATTTCTCTCTCTCCCTCTCTCTGTCTCACCCTCTCCCACTTCCACTCGGCCAAGGATCAACATGCTCATGACCTGCCGCTGGTGCCGTACAGGGCCGCACCGCCTGACGCCGATGGTGCCCGCGTCCAGGAGCGCACGCACGCCATACAAATCGCGACACGGGCGCTCTGGACCCCTTCTCTCCCTCTCTCCACATATCTCCCGCTCTCGCCGTCTCTTCCTTTCTCTATTTGTTTTTTGTTTTTTGTTGTTGCTTCTCCCTCTCTCTCTCTGTCTCCCTCTCGAGGTGGAGGAGGAGGTAGAGGAGGAGCAGCAGGAAAAGGAGGAGGAGGAGGAGGAGGAAGGGGAGGAGGAGGAGTCTCTCTCTCTCTCTCTGTCCCTCCCTCTCACAGCCGCTCTCCTGCCTCCTGTCCCCCCCCAGCCTCGTCCCTTCCACGGACAGCTCCGACACTGACTGGGCGCCCGCGGCCCCACAAATAACCCTGGGCGTCTCCTGAGCGACCGCGCCGCCAGCTCGAACGCCAGCTCCTCGCCACGGGAGCCCAATTACGTGGCCCCCAGCGCTGTCCGAGTTGAGCCTGGTCTGGAACGGCGTTGGAACACATTCGGGACCGGACGGGGGCCAGTGGAGTCGCCCTCTCACAGGGACGACGAGAAGAGCGAGGAGAGGGAGGAGCAGCAGGAGGAAACAACAAATGCGGTCCACATGCAATCCAAATGCAGGAGTAGCTGATGCACTGTCGATCCCTGCTCCCCACAGGCGACACTGCGACGCGATCCGGTCGCACTGACCCGCTCTTGTGGAACTTCTGAGGCAGCAGTTCTGTCTCCTCTTGACTGTGACCTCGCCCTTCCGCAGTCTTGGGCCGCCCGATCGGCTGTCTGATCGCTCTGGGGGCCGATCTGCGGCCTCCCAACAGCGGGCCCGGCCCCGAAGCGCCCCGAAAAGGGTCGCCCCCCCCCTGGACTACAAACGGGACCGGGGGGGCGGGGGCAGTTTTGTGTATGTGTGTATATATATATATAAAAAAAAATCTGACGCACTGAAACAAAACAGCATCAGCCATAATGTTCTGAGAACATATCGTGCAAGCCACCAAAGGTTCTAAGAACAGTCCTTGGTGGCCCCATGGGCAAGCCATGACGCCTCGCCACCGCTTGGACCCCGATCCTCCAGCAGCGCCCCGTCGCCGGCGGCCTGCACGATCTCCAGGTCCAGCCGGGCCACTTCCCCGGGGAAGGCCTCGGGGCCGAGCCCCACGCGCGCCGCTCGCGGGCGGCGTGCGCGAGCGCCGGGGAGGAGGAGGAGGAGGAGGAGGAGGAGGAGGAGGAGGAGGAGGAGGAGGAGAAGGAGGAGGAGGAGGAGGTGCAAAAAACACACAGCAAAGCGCCGCCGAGGCGAGCTGGGCGGGGAGCCGGGGCCCAGTGAGGCGAAGACCGGACGGCGCCCCCAGCGGGTCCTGGGCGAGCGCGCGGTGCGCATGGGTGTGGGCGGCAGCATGTGAAGGGGCCCTGGGACATACAAATAAACACACACACACAAAGAAACAGATCCCCCATATTTTCCTATGTTTTCTGGGTTTTTGTCTTCCCCCCCATTACCCATATTTTCCCATATTTTCCTGGAAATCGACGATGATTTGTGTCTGTGTGTTGTTTCTCCTCCTGGATCATGGGCGAGGGCACGTGCAGCACATGCTGGCGAGGGGCTTCGGGGGAAAAAACGCGCTGACATGTTGGCCAGCGTGGGCCTCGAACGGGGTGTCTCTAGCCACCGATGGTGTGCAGCCTGCGCGGAGCAATTCATGAATGTTCGCACCGAGTTGTCAGCTCCACTGCTCGCGCAAGTCTTCCCACCCACCCACTCGCCCACCCGCAACCTGGCGATAACTGCTTGGCTTGGCGCCGGCTGGCGCGTCGCTGCGGCCGCGCCAGCGCGCGCAGGCTCGCGCGCATAGCGGCCTGCTACCCCCGCTGGGGGCTTCCCAGCACGTCTCGCACGCCGCGCTGGCGCGTCGGCACACAGTATCATGGCGACGTCGACACCGGCTGACGTGATGATAACAGTAGCGATGCTGGTGGCGATGATGACGACGACGACAGCAAGGCCAATGATGGCGCCGATGCTGATCACGCCGATGGCGATGTCGGTAAGAAAGGTGCCTGAAGGATTTCGACGTTCGCGCGCGGCCGACGGGCGCCAGTGGCCCGCATGGTGTCATTTGACAGTTATCGCCTCTGCCCCAGCAAACGGGCAAAGGCGTTCGAATGATTTCGGCATGGGCGCGCGAGAGGCCCGCTTGGTCGCATGTGATGATAATGATGAAATACCACTTGTTGTCGTAACAGTTCGTAATAGCGCGCGCGCGTTTTTTTTTTTTTTGGGGGGGGGGGGAAACTCAAAAACAGGTTGCAAGACAATTGTGGTTATATATACATGCTTCTGGAATCTAACTCTTTTTGCCTTTCGGCACGCGGGCGCGAGGCCGCGCGCGTGTGGACTTTGTCATAGGTTTCCCAAGGGAGTATTGAAACTACTGTTCTGTGGAAGACGAATGCGCGCGCATAGTAGTTTTGCCAGGAGTGAGGGTGGGGTCGACCACAGCCTTCCTGGGATGGTATGAATCAGTTTTTACACTGAACGACAGGGCATAGTCGTTTGTAATTTTGTATCCCAGGGGGGACGGGTTGACCAGGGAGAGGAAAGGTAGATCCTAATCCCACCAGTCCGTCGGGCAAAGGTGGTTTCATGAGCGCGCTCTTTCCTCATCCCAAACCCCCTTCCCTTCGGGAAGGGGTGCTCTCCCCCTCCCATGCATGTTTTTTTTGGTGGGGGCGGGCCGCGATGTGGCAGACGGCCCTTTTTTGCCCAGGATGGCTCCGAGAGGGCCTCCGATGCTCCAAGCTGGCCTCCAAGATGGCTCAAGATACAGTCGGACTTGATTGGAGAGGAAACGAGAGAGGACACAAGACCCTTCCGAGGGCCACGTTGCCACAGAAATGCAGGAGGCATGGGTCGCAAGACACAAGACACGAGAATACCCTTGATCTGGCAGGGTCGACCTACTAATCCGGGCAGCCTGTAACCGACGATGTCCAAGATAGCTTCCGACATGCCTCCAATGGGGCCCACGATGGCCACAAGACGATTCCGAGTGCTCTCGGAGCCCCCTTATATCAAGACCCCCCAGAATGCAAAAATCCTGCACCAACCCACAGGACAACAACGATGTGTGGTGGCTCGCCTGTTCGCGTCCGCTCCGAACTTGAAGCCTCGAGATGGCCCCAAGGTTGCCAAAGAGAGGCCCCAGAAGGGCACAAGATGCCCCCCCACACACACGGCCCCAGAGCGCCCACAAGCGCCTCACGAGCGCCCAAAGAGGCGATCTTGATGGCCCCCGGGGGAAGAGGAACATTTGGACCCCCCCCCCCCTTTTGATCGAGGGCCCCCAAGATGGCCTCGAAAGGCCCTCCAGGGCGCCAAAGGGACCCCCAAGAGGACTCCAAGAGGACCCCACGACCCCCTAAAAGAGCCCCAAGAGGCCAGATCCCCCAAAAGCGTCCCAAGATGGCTCCAAGAGGCGATTTGAAGGCTCTGTCCTCGTCCTCGTTGTCCTCCTCCTCCTCGTCCTTGCCCTCATCGTTTTTCCTTTCATGCTCCTTCTCTGCCTGGTCGTCGTGGTCGTCGTCGTCGTCGTCTTCCTCGCCCCCACGCGGGCCCCGGGGATGGCCCGACGAGGCCCTCCCCCAAAGCCACCCACATGCCCGCTTCGCGTCACTATATATGCCCCCCCCCGTCCCCCACCACCTCTCATTGGCAACATGTCTGGATGGTCTTCTGAGGGTACGCAAAGCATGAAGAAACCCTTTAGCTTGTAGGAAGGATGATGTATGCGGTGCAACCGATGTGGTCCAATGTCTGCAGTGAAGTCATGTGGTCCAGTCTATGGTGAGCGATCTAGGTTGTGCAATCTACGCTGTGCAGTCAACGTTATGCGACCTACGTTGTGCAGCGTATGCTGCGCAATCTATGTTATGCAGTAAAGGTGGTGCGATACATGTTCGACAACCTGTGCGATGCACTCTATGTGGCGCAATGGATTCTGCAGAACTTGAAATTGACAAATCCACTGCTCGCGCAAACATCTCACACACCCACCGTCCACCACACCCCTGCAACGTAGTTTACAAAACCCATGCCGTGGCGATTGCGGTGACTGCTTGAAGCTGGCTGGCGCGTCGCTTCGGCAGCCTTAGCGCGCGAAAGCTCGCGCGCACAGCGGTGAGCTAATTTGGCGCAGCCAACGCGGCCGCGGTGGCGCTGACCGCTGAGGACTCCCCAGCGCGACTCACAAATCTGGCGCGCGGGCGTTTCACTGCGAGTCGGTGACTCGGGCGGGCGGTTGGGCGCAGTAGCATGGTGACGTCGGCAACGGCGGAAACGATGATAATGGAAGGCCAACGACTGATGCTGGTCACGCCGCTAGCGATGGTGGTCTCCACGTGTCGGTGGTGGCCCTTGTGGAACGATTTCTACATGCGCGCGCGGCCGACGCACGCGAGTGGCTCTCATGGTATTAGTTATCTGACAGGGGTCGTGCCCCCCCTCCTCAGCAAGCGCGCAGGGGCTTTCTAATGATTTCGAAGTGCGCGCGCGAGAGGCCCGCCTGGTCGAATTCGATGAGAATGTTGAAAAAAACAACGGTTCCCATAAGAGTTGACAGGGGCGCGCACACATTATCGATACCGGCCTGCCTGGGACGGTATGAGCTCGCATGTAAAATTAACGATGGGGCAGAATCGCATGTAAATTGTACCATCCCAGGGGAATCGATGAACCTAGTGTGGTGGTGGTAGATCCGAATTCCTTTTTGCAAAGGAGACTCTACGTGGTGCAACCTATGTGGTGCATTCTACGCGGTGAACTCTGTATGATGCAATCGATGTTGCGCGAACTATGTTGGCAATTATTTGTCTTGCGATCTATGCTGTGCAATCTACGTTGTGCAGTCTGTGTGGTGCAATCTATGTGGTGCCTTCTGTGTGGTGCAATCCAGGTGGTGCACTTACGCGAGGCCGCGACGATGCGGCGACGGGGCGGCAACGGCGACAACATAGCCGCCGGACCGACAGACAGGCACAGTTACGGGCGGCGACGGCGACAACAGAGCCGCCAGACCGACAGACAGGCCCAATTACGGAAGGCGACAAAGCGGCGACGGCGACAACAGAGCCGCCAGACCGACAGACAGGCCCAGCAACGGGGAGCGACAAGGCAACGACGGCCGCGACATGGCCACCAGACCGGCAGACAGGCCCAGTTCTTTCGTCGGGGGCGGCCAAGTGGGGGGCGTCCAAGAGGGGGGGTGCAAATCATGGCCTACTGTGCCCCAGAGCTTCAGTGGGTCCAGAGGAGCCATCGGGGGATAATACATGTTTCGTGGAGCACCTCTTGGCAAGCCGATATCTTACTTGGTGTGCCTACTGTACCCATCCTCTCGCGTTCCCTCCTCTCCTCACCCTCGCCTCGCCTCGATCGGTCTTTAGAACCGCGCAGGTCTCTGGAAATTAATTACCTCTCCGGAGGCCTTACTGACGGACTGGGGTCCCACCAATGGTGGGAAATACTTGTTTCTCTGCGACACCCGCCGCACTACACTTGTGTCTCCTCCTCCTTCTCCTCCTCCTCCTCCTCCTCCTCCTCCTCCTCCTCCTCCTCCTCCTCCTCTCTCATCATCATCATCATCATCATCATCATCATCATCATCATATCATCATCATCATCATCATCATCATCGTTCTCCCCCCCTCCCCCTCCTCCTCCTCCTCCTCCTCCTCCTCCTCCTCCTCCTCCTTCGGAATGGAATGAGGAGTAGCATGAGGAGGACGAGGAGGAGGTGCAGGAGGAGGAAGGGGAAGGAGGAGGGGGGGAGGAGGAGAAAGAGGAGGAGGAGGAGGAGAGGAGGAGGAAGTACGAGGTTGTTCCCCGTCGAGAAAAACATGGGGGGGAACAGCACTGAAGACCTCCTGAGGTTAGATCTATGTGCACTGGGCCGCCCTGCTCAGCGCGACTCTATCCAGGACTGGGTCTGCGGATCTGCCACACGCCAGCTCCGAGGACCCGCCGTGCGGATGCGGCGGCTGACCGCCTCACGTTGACCTCCAGGGCAACCGAACATTGGGCCTCTACGTACCTCACGCGACGCTGCCGCGAAGCATAGCGAGGCACTTCGTGTGGCTCCGGCCGTCCTGACGCCCCCGTGCGCGCGGCAGCTCTCTGGCACCCACGCCTCCCCCGCGGAGGAAGGGCCGATTGCTTATCCGATGTGCCCGCTGTGCCTTGGGTGAGCCTTCATGGGCGCCTCTGTGGACCTCCGCGGCGCCATCGGACACGTAAATGGGACGGGAGTTCGTCCAGATCTCGGCCACCCCTCTTCACCCTTTCGTCCAACTGTTGTCCAAACTCCGCCCAGATGTCGACCGCACCCGACGAAACGTAGGTCGGGCGTGTCCCCCTACAGGGGGGATTTGGGACGAACAAAAATACAAAACACATCCGGAAAATATTCAAAAATGCTCAAAACATTGTCCCCAGATGACTGTTTTACTATTTTTGAACATTCCCCCTGGAGGGGGACAGGCCCGACTGAAGACGAACCCCGGATGTCTGGATCCCTCTGCGGCTCCCAGGCAAGACCGCGCGAGAGCTCCGGGCTGCGCGCCGGCCCCCCCCCCCGAGGCGGGGCACCCCCGAGCAGCCCGGAGAGCGGCCTCGACGCCCCGAGCCCGGGGGAGCTGGCCAAGGGGGGCTTTCTGGGCGCCCAGCCCAGCGCCCGCTCCCAGGGCCCGGCCCGTCGCCGGTGCCGCCGTCGTCGTCGCCGTCGTCGTCGCCGTCGCCGTCGCCGTCGCCGCGACGCCCGCGCCTTCACGTTATGACCAGCGGCGGGCCGCGCGCGCCCGCGCGCGCCACTGCGCTCGCAGTGCCGCTCCGCCGACGGGGGCCCAGACGGACATCGTGTCTTTGTCCGCCCACACCTCGTTTCAAGTGGTAGTGGGGAGCATGCGCCCCTGGTAAGGGAACGAGGGATGACATAAGCATCAGACCTCGGAGGTCCGCGCGGGTTCCTCGGATCGGCGCTGCAGACCCCCCTCCCTGGCGCGCGGAGCTAGACAGGGGCGGCGCAGGAGGTGCCGCCGGGGGGGTCCAGCGCGGATCCGAGCACTCCGCGCGGACCTCCGAGGCTTGATGTTTGTGTCATGCTTCGTCCCCCACATTGAGCAGGGACCGATCGTCCCGGCATTCCTATACATAGTCCTACCACGAAATGTTCTCAGAACCCAAAGGAGTTCTAAGAACAGAAACAATGTTCTTAGAGCATCAGCCCGATATGACAAAACAAGACAGTCCCAGCCAGAAATGTTCTAAGAACATTTCCTGGGAACCACAAAAGGTCCTTAGAACATTGTTTGGCAGGGCTCTCTGGGCGAGCCCGGACGCTTCGCCACTGCTCGACCACCGGCTCCTCCCCCGGCTCCCGCCGCAGGCCTGCGCCGAGCACTCCGCCGCCGCCCCGGCGGCGGCGGCGCCGAAGGCGCCCTCCAGCCCCGCGACGGCGCTCTGCAGCCGTCCCACGGCGCGCGCCCAGGCGGCGTCGGCTGGCGCGGCCGCCATCGGAGCGCCGCGCGCTCGCGGCGCTCTCGCGGCGCGCTCGCGCGGGGGGGGGGGGGCCGCCGGCGCCCGCGACGCCGAGGACGCCGGGGAGGAGGGCGAGGACGACGCCGAGGCCGACGACGGGGGCGCCGGCGCCGACGAGGACGACGCCGAGGCCGCCGCCCCGCGCCCCGAGACTACAACGACGCCGACGGCGAGGACGAGAAGGGCGCCGACGGCTGCGCCGACGACGACGCCGCTGCCGACGACGATAGGAACGCCGACGCCGACGGCGAGGACGAGGACGGCACAGACGACGACGACGACGACGACGACGACGAGGCCGAGCCCCGCTCAGGCTGAACCCAGGGTTCCATTCTGAGCCCGCTCGGCCGCAGCACTGGGCAGCCGAGCGGGCCCAGTTCTGACAGGCGTCGGCCAGGAGGCCTCTAGGAGGCCTCAGGAGGCCCCAAGGAGGCCCCAGGAGGCCCCAGGAGACCCCTAGGAGGCCCCTAATTAGGAGGCCCTAGGAGGCCCCAGGAGGCACCAGGAAACCCCGAGGCCCCAGGAGGTCTCAGGGGAATATCGAAGCCCGCTCGGCCGATCGGCCGCAGGATGGGCTCGATCTCGCATCCGTCCGGCGGCCGAGCGCGCTCAGACGCCCAGCGTCCTCAGGAGGACACCCTGGGGGGGGTCATCGTGAGGGCGCAGCAGGCACGAAGCTTTCATGGGGCCCTCGAGGCATCGAGGAGGGAGGGCTGCGAGGCATTCCTCGGGGAGCGTGTGGCCGCACGTGGGCGCCTTTGGGCCGCCGAGGAGGTCCGCCGGCGTGCGGGAGCGGAGGCAAAGAGAAACAGCAACAGGCCGGGATTTATACATGATCTCCCGGGCTCCGGGCCCACGGCCCTCCCCCCCCCGATGGGATGGGTCTCAGGGTCCCTCGGGCCCCCTCCAACCCCCCTGATGGGCTGGGAGCGGGGACGATCACGACGACGACGACGACGACGACGACGACGACGACGACGACGACGACGGCGGCGATGGCGACGACGACGACGACGACGACGACGACGACGACGAAGACGGCGACGACGACGACGGCGGCGGCGGCGACGGCGGCGGCGGCGACGCTGACCTCCGGAGCCCTCCTCCGACGACGGCGGCGGCGGCGACGACAACCTCGGGAGCTCGCCTGGAGCACCGCAGTACCACGCCACACACGCCACACCCACAGCACCACACCACACCAACAGGGGGGGAACCATCGCGCGGGGGAGGGGGGGCCGATGGCATCAGCATGAGGGGGGGGGCCCAGACCCTGGACCATACATATCCACCGCCTCGGAAGCCGATGTGCTGGGACCCCGAGAGGCTATGGCTATGAATATCGCTGGGTCCTGGGAAGTCGGCTCTCAAGCAGGTGGACATGTGCACACCCTGGCATCGGAGGTAGGACGTCAAGAGAGCGCAGACAGGCAGTCCTGCGAAGTCTCGCCTCGACCCTCGAGGATCCGCGGAGGAAGCTCCCTGGAAGCTCTCGGGCGCTTTTCAACAGGGGCCTCCGCGGATGAGAATCTGGAACTTACGCTTGCCATGCGGATCTACGAGACCCTCACAGGGGGGCTCTTGACGGCCAGGCGGGAGCCACCAGTGCCTGCTAGACGAGCTGCTACCCAAAGAGTGCCCCGAGCGCAGCGAGGCCGCGCTGGAGGGGTTCCTGAAGGTGCAGAGGGGGCAGGGACAGAGGTGAAGGGGCGGGGAAGCGGGGGCAAAGAGGGGAGGGGGAAGTGGTAGGGGAGGGGCAGGGGCGGGCGGGCGGGAGGCGACGGAGGAATCTGTTTTCTGTTGGGGGTGGATGCGCAGGGGGAGGGGAAGGAGGCTGCCCTCTGACATCGATGGGACGGCGGTGGATCCAGCCGCGCGCACGCAGGAGAGGGATCAGCCGAGAGCTTGCCCACGCGGAAATCCGAACCCCTCCGACACACCGACCCTGTGGCTAGCAGCGCTGGAGTGCGCCCTGCGCGAGGCGAAGGACAGGAGACGAGCTTGCTCCAGTACCCAAGTGGCGCCCCCTGCCGAAGTATCGCTGGGCCCGAGGGTCATCAGCTCCTCAATCCACGCAGGGTAGGCTTGAGGTCAGACTGGTGCGTCGCACGAGAAAGCTGCAGACGAAGGGAGAGCGGAAGGAGGCGAGCGACGGCAACGCGGCTCATCCACGAACGGTCTCTGCACTGCCCGGTTCGTGCTCGCTTCCTTCGGCACCGCCTCCACTCCCGTCCCCTAGCTCCAAGTCCAAAATCGCCTCGTTTAGCGCTTCCCTTGCCCTCCTCGCTCACACTCTGCCCGTTCATTTCCCGTGCGCGTGCCTCCTACACATCACGCCTCCCCCCTCCAATCTCCCACGTTCTCGTCTCCCTCGGCCCCGCCTCCACTTCCGTCCCTTGACGCAATCGAAGTCCCCGCTCTTACCACCCGCTTTACCCTCGCTGCTCCCCTTCTAACTACCCCCATCCACCGCCTCGTACTCACACTCCAAGGCCGCCCCCCCTGCAGCTCCACTGACTCACAAGAGGCTCCCAGAGCCAGCCCCCGGGAATCTCCATATGTGAGGCACGGTTGCTCCAGAATGTAGGAACTCAGCGTGCAGACGCGGAGGTCGACTGGGAACGTTCGGGGGGGGGGGCTGGCTCAGGCAGGGAGCTCGAATCGACGAGGTATCGCCGTAGATCGGCGAACGGCCCCCGATAGCGAATCCGCCCGCTCGGGCCCCCATCGGCCAGCAGTTGGGGATGGGGGGTCAGTGCGCCTTCCCCTGAAGGTATGACCCGCTGGCGTTGGCCCTGAACTGCAGCCTGGGCGGGGCCAAACGCCCCCCGCCCGTGCGACGCATCCCCCCCCAGCGAGGCGTCATGGGGGCTACGACTCCAGCCATTTTCTAAGGCCACTCATGGAAACCTCCCATACCATCTTGTCGGCTCTTGCGAGTCGACGCTAGTCGACGCTGAATCGACGCTGCATCGACACTGAACAGACGCTAGATCGGCCCGAATCGACGCTGGAAACAAAATTACGAAGGTGCACCAGGCCCCCATGATTTTCGACCGAAGCCATGGAAGGCGCCAAGCCCTGGCCCCAGCTTGGCGCCCCGAGGTGAGCCCAGCGCAAACGGCCCCCCCTCCCCCCAGCACGCGTTCGTCCTCGGGCGGCCGCGCCTGGCCTCGCCCCCGGCCCTCCGCGGGCGCCCCCTCCTCTGCCCTGCGCCTGCCCCCCCCCCCCCCCTCCTCCCCGGCGACCCGCCTCCCTGCCACTCCCCCTCGCCTCCGCTGCCGCCCGCGTCCCTCGCCCTCGTCCTTCGTCCCTCGTCCACCTGCCTCCCCATCGTCCCTCGTCCCTTCGTCCCTCGTCGTCGTCCCTCGCCCTCGTCCCTCGCCCTCGTCCCTCGCCTCGCCCCTCGTCCCTCGCCCTCGCCCTCCCCCTCGCCCTCTTTCCCCCAGCCACAATTGCTGGCTGTCCCAGATCACCCTGCACTCCAGAGCGAACGGCCTGAAGAAGAGCCCCGACACACAGACGATCCTGGGAAGCCAACGATCGTCCTGTTCGGCAGCAAGGAACGAACCGATCGACATCCTCAGCCCCGCGGAGCCTACAAACACATCGAACAGGGACGGCAACCTCCAGAGGGAATGAGTTCAGGATCGCAAGTCCCACCTCGGGCCAAAGGACTCGAACGCAGAGGCGCCACAAGAAAGGCAAAGGGAAGGGCATGCAACAGAGAACAGGGGGGTAGGCGAAGGGACAACAAGAAGCAGGAGCAGTGGAGGGCAGCAGCAGGACCAAGGGAACCGACAGCAGGCAGGTGGAAGCGGGAAAGGAGAGGAAGGACAGGACAGACAGACAGGAAGGGACGACGACCAAGGGAACCGCCTCCGGCACAGGGAGAAGTACAACGAGGAAGGCAGGCGAGGCTCATCACGTCCGAAGGGGCCAACAAAAGTCCAACGAACCTGTCGACTACCAGCGAAACAACCTGAGGAAAACGGCCCAGTCAGCTCAATCAGGGGGGGAAGGGGCAATCAACCACAGAGAGCAAACAATCTAGAAGCGAATGGAAGATGGGGGCCACCGGAAAAAAAGGGAGGGTCCCAGGAACACACCGTTAAGGGGGCGGGGCAGGATGGGCAACAGGGAGGGCCCGCCGGGGCTTCAGGGCAACCAACGCCTCCTGAAGTTTAGTGCGGCGGCGAAGGTTGACCCAGTGCGCCTCGCATTATGACCAGGCAACAAAAACAACTGATTGGCGCACCACCACTGTGGCCCCAAACAACAAAGACTCAGGAGCCAGCCGACTTGATGTACACACACACACATACACACACCACGGCAGAGCACTCTCAGCACATCAGTGACAAAGTGGGTGGTCGTCTCACGGCCTACAGCAGGAAGAGGAGGAGGAGGAGGAGGAGGAGGAGGAGGAGGCGGAGAAGGAGGAGGAGGAGGAGGAGGAGGAGGAGGAGGAGGGGAGGAGGGGGATGGGGGAGAGGGGAGAGGGGGAGGAGGAGGGAAAGGAGGAGAAGGAGGAGGGGAGGAGGAGGGCAGGAGGAGGAGGAGGAGGAGCAGGAGAAGAACGAGGAGGAGGGGGATGGGGGGATAAGGGGAGGAGAAGGAAAATGAGGAGAAGGAGGAGGAGGAGGAGCAGGGGGAGGAGGAGGAGGAGAAGGAGGAGGAGGAGGAGGAGAAGAGGGAGGAGCAGGAGGAGGAGGAGGAGGAGGAGGAGGAGGAGGAGGAGGAGGAGGCGGAGCAGGGGGAGGAGGGCGAGCATGTCTGGGCGGGCGGCCGCCTGGAGGCCGCGTCCGCTGCGGACGGCCCCGCCGCCGCCGCGGCGGCGGGCGGAAGCCGCGCAACGGCCTGGGCGCCGTGGCGTCTGCGCTCCCGCCCCCTAGGGAAGAGCAGTCCATCGGCATCGCCAGGATGTCGAAATTGAATCGGTTCGACGGAGGAAGGAGAGTCAACACATCGGACTG